TTCAATGTTTTGAAATTTTCCCAGCAAATTTTAGAGTGCTTCGTCGAGATAGACCAGATAGAAAGGGTGGTGGACTGTTTATCGCTGTGAGAGAGACTTTACCAGTAATCGAGAGGGTTGATGTCCATGTTGACATGGTTGAAGACAGTGATATCTTATGGTGACAGCTTGCCCTTAGTCCAGCTGGTGACAGCGTGCTTATTGGTGCCTATTATCATAGACCCGATTTAGCTAACAAAGACACATTAAATGGGCTAAACGATAGCCTCACCAAGATATTTTCAACTCTGAACTTCCTGTTTGTAATTCTGGGTGGAGACTTTAACATACCTGGTATGTCATGGAGTCCTGAGGAAACAACGCATCCTTATGGCTGTCTACAGTCTCAAATCATGGAGATAGCTGATGACTACCACTTAGAACAGAAGGTTGGCTTCACCACTCGAACGGATCCAGTCTCTGGTGTTGGGAATGTCCTAGCCCTGTTGTTTACAACTAGACCACACACAGTTGATAACGTTCTTGCAGTTTCTGGGTTGAGTGATCATGAAAATGTTCTTGCCGATACCATCAAATCTGTTCCTGCTAGAAAACCACCGAGGAGTATCTTGAAGTGGAAAAATGTGGAGGAAGAGGCTTTTAGAACGGCCGCAGCAGAATTGAGGGATAATTTCTTTCACAGCAACCCGGATCAAAATACTGTTGAATTAAACTGGATCCTTTTTAAGGATGGGTTGAACAACGTTGTCAAAAATCTTGTTCCTCAGAAGATTGTCAAAGGGAAAATTAGGCCAAGATGATTGTCAACTCAACTTTTGCGTCTCACTAGGAAAAAGAAAGATTGTATGTTCGGGCTAAAAACTCTGGCATCAGTTCTCATTGGGTAAAGTTTAAATCTGTTCGTAGATATGTAGACCGTGAACTTCGTAAAGCTCATCGTGCCCATGTGGAAGCTATGACATCTACTGATGACCCCATGAAGTACTGGCAATATATCAAATCCCAACGCAGAAATAATAGTGGTATTCAGGTACCTAAGATCCGGGATGTTGATATAATCAGTGACAAGACGAAAGCAGAGGCCTTAGCAAATCAATTTAGTAGCATCTTCACTCGAGATGAGGCGTCACAGCTGCCATATCTGCCCGATAGTAGTTGCCCAGATATGCCTGACATTGAGGTGTCTGTGGAAGGTGTTCTCAAGCTGCTTAAATCGATGGATGTTTCCAAAGCAGCTGGGCCCGACCAAATACCAAATAGAGCCCTCAAATGGGATGCGGATGAAATTGCCCCAATCCTTTCGCATACTTTACAACAATCCTTGGATACAGGTGAACTGCCTGTAGATTGGAAAAGGGCCAACATAACTCCTTTATTTAAAAAGGGTGCTGCATCTGACCCAGCAAATTATAGACCGGTTTCTATAACGTCAGTGTGTTGCAAATTATTGGAGTATATTGTTGACAGTCAGTTGATGGAACATCTAGATTAACATCAAATTTCAGTAGAAAATCAACATGCCTTCCGTAGAGGACGCTCATGTGAGAGTCAACTTATTCTGACTTTCAATGACCTTGCGTGCAACCACAATTATGGAAAAGCTACCGATGAAGCAGTCTTGGACTTTTCAAAGGCTTTTGATGTAGTACCACACCAGAAACTCCTTCATAAGATCGATTATTACGGCATCAGAGGCAAAATAAATAATTACAGCGTTCTTCTTTAAGAATCGACTGCAGAGAGTTGTTGTCAACGGCGAATTGTCTAGCTGGCACAAAGTTGTCAGCGGGGTGCCACAGGGGAGTGTGTTGGGACCACAACTGTTTCTTCTTTTTATAAATGGCATTCAATCCGTTGTGAGGGGAGAAATTCGACTATTTGCCGATGGTTGTCTTATATATCATCAGATCAACTGCAAAGAAGATGAGGGATTTCTGCATGCTGACCTTGATAACCTCATTAAATGGGCTTCTATATGGGTATGAAATTTAATGTTAGCAAATGTAAAATGATGCGAGTTTCTGTAAACGCAGCCCCGGTAAACCTTTTCATGAGATGGACGGTGTGCGTCTTGAAGTAACGACAGAGTTCAAGTACCTTGGAATACAAATTCAAAATGATTTAGGATGGGGAAATCAGACACAATATGTTGTCAAAAAAGCCGCAAGAGTCCTCAGTTTCATCAAACGAAATTTCTACATGAGTTCTAAAAAGGTTTAGGAAAGGTTGTATCTTACACTTGTTCGACCACTACTAGAAGAGAATTCAGCGCAGGGCAGCGCGCTTTGTTCTCAGAGATTATGCTAGGAAAGTAGTGTCTCCAACATGTTATCGTCACTTGGAAGGGAGAAATTAATTGACAGAAGGGAAGCTCATCAGATAACCCAACTCTACAACATCATTACTCAATCTATTGACATTGATGCCTCTGACTGTCTTCAGCCAAAAGTGCAAAGATCCAGGAGGGGGAATAATAATCAATTCAGCACACCATCGACATTCTCATCTGTTTTCAAGAACTCTTTTTTCCAAGGACCATCAAATTATGGAATGATCTGCCCCAACATTTTATCGATTCTGAGACGCATAAGACCTTCAGACACAATTCTTACAACATATTGACTAAGAATTAGACGCCGACCCTCCTTGTGACCTTTCAGTCAAGATCCCTGGGATGTTTCAGCAGGAAACTAACCAAGTACCAAGTACCCCCACCATGTCTTCCCATGGTTCTGAGTATGCGAAAATCACGCAGACGCTTTATTTTACAATGACCTGTGCTACATGGGTCAGAATTAGATGCATAAAAAACTAATGCAGAAAAATTATGGAGATAAAGGGTCTTTTCTGATAACTTCCGGAGATTATATTAGACAATAATCAAGATAATAATAATGACCAAGGCTACAAATGAATTTTATTAAATCTAGCACTATGGAATTATACTACGACTGATGAGAAACCCCATTTTAATATTACATCTACTAAAGTTTTAGGAACTCAATGTCCATCACCATCAAGCAGAGACTCAAGTTCAAGGGGTCGACTGGGGCGGCGGGGTAGCCTGAAGCCACGTTGCTCAAACTAATGCACGACATGATTTGGTATGGTCAAAGAAAGGGCTCCCCAACGGTACCTTTTCCAAGATCGTTCATTTTCAGAATCCTCAATTCTAAAGTTTATGTGCTCACAGTGTCTGTTAGGCGTTTTACAAACCAAAGTATGCACATGCCAGTGGCGAGCCTACTTCCTCTTCTGTTGCTATATGGCCATCTTCATACTCGGACTCCCATGTGAGGGTTGGGATGTTGCCATGCCAGCTGATCGCAATGTTGAATGTGCAAAGCAAGTTTGCTCCAAATGTGTGCACGGGAGGTACTTCAAAGCACGCGGACGAGCGGCAAATGAAGTCACTGATGTTATTAGTGAAAAAGTGAACTTCGTTGCATCCCCATTTCCTGACGAATTCATGCCAAGTCCAAAACCCCTCTTTGCCTTATCGAGGCATAAACCGTCCAAGTACCGCAAGCAGTGCACATGTTCTATCCAGTCTTTATAATGGAGACCAATGGTCCTGTACCACTCAAGGACATAATGAAAAAAAAAATAGCACCTTTTCCGTTTAGATAGCGTTTGCTCAGCTCAGTAATCCCACGGACATATATAAAAAAAACCTGGACTTGCAACGCCTTTGTATAAAATAGAAGCCAACCAGCGGCCATTTTACCGAGCCGAATACAAACGTGCGGGTTGGCTTGCTTCTGTTGACGCAAGGGAGAACAAAGGCGGGCATTGCCAGGAAAGCTTTATATTCGGCTCGGTAAAATGGCTGCTAGTGGATTCAATGATCTCTATAAGCTGATAAGGCGTTGCGAGTCCAGATTTTTTTAAATACGTTCGTGAGTAATACGGGCAATTCACAATAGTGCGCCTCCAAGAATTTGCAACGCGTCGGCCAATCAAAATGCGCGAAATCTGCCGACCCACTGCGCGTTTGGAAAGGGTCGACAGATTCGCACGTCGTTTCAACTTCGTTGAAGTATGAAATGAAGGTCTCTAACAATGGACAAACGGGGTAAAACAAAATTTTAAACGGAGGGCGTCATCTAAGTTAGTATATTTTCTTTTTTGTGTTTATTCGCACTTTTTTTCGAGTTGCTCTCATACAGATGCAAATATTAAATCCGAACGTGTGATTGAAACCATGTACGTACAAGTGAACGTCCTATTTTCCACAGTAGACTACGATTTTTGATGCTGTTTTTTGCTGGAGTCTATTTAAATTCTTTTGACAAGGCGGTTGCTGGGCCCAACTCTCCGTGAATATTCAGTTGGATCGAAAAAAGTATTGGCGTAGTCATGTTTTTAGGAATATTGAACGTTTTGCACGTTTACTAACATATTATTGCTTTAATTCTGCTCAATCCGTCATGGAAATAAACATGGACTTTAACACAAATATACAAAATGCTTAAATATTGGTAAACGCAAGCAGTCTGATTCATTAAAGGTAATGATTTCAGTAAAGTGTTATTCATTAATAGGTGTTGGTAAAACTGAAAAGAATCCGCTTGGTCTGAGGTAATTGAAACTTTCAGATTATCAAATGGTAGTCAAATACTCCATGTTAGCTAGATAACACCTGTAGTAGGTAATGCTAGTATGGTAGCGTTTTGACCTTCATGCTTAATTACTAGGATAAAGATAGCTGTTGAAATGTTTTGTTTCAGGGTCTTAATGAATGCAAGTACACGTAGCTTGGTGTGTTTGACTTGCAGATGAGATTTGGCTAGGATTATGATAGTTGTTACAGATTTTGTTTGGGCGGTTTGACTCTTTCGATCTTGTAACTTGGATCTTGTCCCACAAGCCAGTACGTCAGAATTTCACCTTTTCCCTGAATAAAAATAGAACAATAAATAAATAACGCATAGTATTGTTTCATATAATGTTTTCAAAGAATGTCTCCTGTTTCCTTAGATTGGCGTGGGATTTTTTCACCTAAAATGATGGAATCAACAGTTCGTGCCGCTTGGTCAAGTATGCAATCCGATGAATGTGTGATGGCATACTACCAAAACTATGGGTGCGTTCGATTAGCTTACACGTGTGTAAGTCAAACTTACACAGAGCGTTCGTTTAGCCATCATGTGATCTTCGTGCCTGCCCTGGTGTCAGCCACCACTATCCCGGCTGGCGAGCGGGTTTCTTGAGGCTGCCCGAGTGTAATGACGTCACGGATGGACTGTTCGAGCATGGGCGTGATGGAACTGGCGGGGACTTGACCTTTTTCCGGGTTAGGGGCCGTCCATAAAGTTTGTGCGCACGAACGGGGAGAGTGGTTGGTGCCGTTGCGTACACGATGCGTACAGAATGGGCGGGGGGGTCAAGCCAAACAAACCAATACAAACAAACATAAGGTGCAAAGTAACTACGTGCAAAAGAGAAAAAAAGCACCGGGCTTATTTAATTTTTTGTTTTTATTTGACAACATCTTTGTTAAGCTGCCAGGTTCACATTTTCTTAGTCTTGGTCAAGACGTTGTTGTGTTGTTGATACGCGAGAGAGCCCTCACAAGACGAATAGCACCACATGACACGTAAACACACGGACCACCAGACCACCAGATCCTATTCAAAACTACAGGAGAATCAAAATTATGGGCAAATTCACCCCTCGGTGTTGGGAATTTACGCACAGTTGATGAATTCCAGCCCAAAATTCCATGCAGCCATTTTCGATTGTGAACAGAATACTTTATTCACTTAATCTAGCCCATGTACATGTAACCATTGATCTCCATTATAAACGGTGCGTTCGATTAGCTTCCCTGAATCACCAGTGTTACACCAAGGAAGCCTCGAAATGAGGCTAAACGAACGCTACCGTGTATTCGCTAGGGCATTCTGGGAAAAAGGTCAAGTCCCCGTCACGTTCATCATGTCCATGCTCGAACAGCCCATCCGTGACGTCATTACACCCGGGCAGTTCATTGAGACCCGCTCGTCCGCCGTGGTAGTGGTGGCTGACACGGGTAGATCACGTGATGGCTAAACGAACGCTCTTTGTAAGTTTGACTTACACGTGTAAGCTAATCGAACTCACCCATTGACTGCATGGGACATCATGCAGCCGAACAATGGCGGCGCGCTGTGCTTCGGGGTTAATGTGATACTGTATGCTGTGAATTTAGTCACAATAGATTATGGGGGAAAAATTTCTTATGGGACGGCGGCTACGCCCTCGGCCGCCCTCCCGAAAAAAGCACAAATAAACAGAAAATGAAGTATATCATTTCCGTAAATACCTGACCATTTTCTTTTAAAATAACCCACTCGAAGTAACCTGTTTTGTGTTTGTTGTTGTTTTGATGTATTCATTTTTCTCATCTGTTGTCTACGGTCTTACTCGGGCAATGTTTTCACTTTGGTTCGCTTCAGTCGTGATTTGTTGAGTGTCCACCAAAATCCACAATAGATTTTGCATTATGATATCCAATCTGTCCACGTGTTTGTCCGTCTGATTTCAATGAGCCAATACTGAAACACTTCATCAAGCATAAAAATGCAAAGAAAATGAAATAAAGTTTTACTTTCAATGATACACACTCACAGGAAATATTGTAATTCATTCATTTACTGAATAAATTAGTTTTATTGTTATTTTTTTGACTGAACATTTATTTCCGTTTTGCAATGTACATATCAAGTTATTCACAAGGTCAATAAATGAAGGATTTATGACCACAAGAGTGAAAGTTAAATAAGACCATGAGACATTGAAATAAAAGGGGGCAAATACGGAGGCATATTTAGAAGACAAAGTCTTATACAGCAATGCCTTGTTAAGACAACAAAAAGAACCAGACAAGGAAGACTGACAACAGATTATACCCCCCCCCCAAAAAAAAAACGACAAGTGTGAGAATCTCTTCTGTGAGCACAAAAACAGCAGAGCCATGACTGCAAGCCTAACTAATTACGTTAGTGCCAATATTACCATGCACAGACACTTATAAATCAGGTTTTAAAAGAATTGAGTTCCCAACTGACTAAAGATTTACATTTAACAAGTACTTTCCGAAAAGAAAATGTCAGTGTTAATTGAGAACGAATAATTTATAATTTAGACAAAGTTTCTTTCATTGCGTTGAATGAATTTCCTTGTTTGTTACTTCACTCGACGGAAACGTCAGCTTCCTGTATCTCGCTTTAGTTTCATCTCTGCCCAGAAGATGAATATTCAGTCACTAAGATCACATTGTCTATCACACAATTTGGGTTCAATGCGTCTTCAGATCTCACAAACACAAACCATGGTTTTCTTCGAAATTTTTTTCAGTGAAATCTGTGAAAAAAACGACAAATTAATCATTCAGTTTTTGAAACCACTTTTGCCGATAAATAACATTTCAAACGGTCCCAACATCGATACAGGGAAGTCTCATAAACTAAGCCTGATAGGCTAGATACACTTTCATAAATTTCTTACTACATTTGTATATAGGCACAAGGCATGCAGAAACATTCTGCATGTGCGACTCACCCGTCAAAGCTGCTCCTTCTTCCAAACTTGATTTTACCATCGATCTCCGGCAATTCTTTGCTACGCACACCTCAATCATTATTCTTTCCAAATTTATCCATCCGGGGGCAGAATTCATTTTTTTTTTCGAAATCTGACGATTGAAGTACAATAACCTCGACCAGTTTTTGAAATTCTCAGTTTGAAAGTGCAAGCAGCAACGCTCGCTATTTGCCCTCCTGAAAATACGCATGCGCGGGATGTATTTTAGACGCGATGTCCTATAAGAGGTCCATGAGGTGACAGAAGAATTGTTCCATTTCATGAGGCGAAGAAAAGAGGAATGGAACACTTCACCTGTCACCGAATGAAATTGCAACAATGTATTATTTGTTTTATACAACACTTGCAAAAATCCTCTTCTATTTGGGGCCATTCAAATTTTTCTATGTTTTTTAATTTCGATTGCTTTCGAAATAGTGGTTGGGTGGGTGGTTTAAGGTAAATTATTGAAAATCGAAATTCATTTTTATGAAAAAACGAAAGCCATCTTTTGACTTGCGTGAACTAAAATCTTTTTCAACTTCGTTCCCAGTTCCGGAACTTCGACAACCGAACACATGAAACGATCAAACTTCAGAAATATTTTCGCGAATGCTCTTCATGCAGAGGTATTTTTTAATGTTCATGTATTTATGTCGAGGTCCCAGTGCATGTATTTTTAGCAGTCCAGTGAAGCCTGAGGTTCTGTCATCTTTGCCGGGAGTGATGCCGGTCCACGAAGGCAAATCATTTCAGCTCACCACTGCGTAATACAAACGTATGGTGTACTATTTACGACAAACATTTCTCTCTCTCTCTTGCCTTCCTCCAGGCGACGCAACAAGACGACACGACGGCACGACGGCTCCCTTACGTCGTGCCGTTGGGTCGAACCGTCGCCTTCTTGTCATTACGTTTGTACACACACGACGCGTCGCCTCGTGCGTCGCGTCGTGCTGTCTCAGGTATTTTCCACGTTTCATTTTTTCCCGGCCTAAACGTCGCCCCTTCCGTCGCTCGTCCCGTCGTACTGTAGTGCGTCGCATCGTGCGTCGTGTCGTGCATCGCGTCGCCTTTTACGTCGCCTGAAGCGCGACGCGACGCACGACACGACGCACGACGCGACGCGTCGTGTGCTGTCGCCCTTGCTTCATGGTGTTCATAGAGGGCGCTTTTACTGTTTTCTTTCATTTCTGTTCTTGTTTGTATCTCATCCATTCCTCGATTAGGATTAATTTCTGTCATGTTTTATAAAGAAAAAGAGC